GTGTTACTCTTGGTACTTGAGGTTGCAGGAAAATTGTGGTTTCAGTGGAGCAACACCCCTCCATTATTCACTCAACACAAGTCACTGTTATTATTTATTCATCGGTCAGATGGTCCTGTCCTATAGTCAACCCATAGAAATTTTGAAACGAGGCCTTACACTCCTGCTGTTTGTGTACTCAGGAGTGTACTCGTGTTAACAGAAGTAAAACACTAGAGCACAGCCTGTGATTCCCAATGTATATTAACTTACTTATGCCTTTAAGAGAGTAACGCATACTCTGTCACCTAATCTTCAACCTGAGTTTCCCACGTTCTCATTACTGCGTTTGTACCATGACATTTGCACACTGAATGTTCAACGTTTACAAATTATCATACAGTGAAGAGTGCCCAGAGACTGATTTGCAAATGGTGAACGTCATCTAGTCAGGGGTTTAGATAATTTTCTTCAAGCCATGAGTACAATACCCACATCCTTGCTCCGAGTAGAGTACAGTATTCTTTCGCCCTCAGTATTGTTTAGTATGGTACCCTTCTTCCTCATGAGAGGGAGAGTACTGTTCTCCCTGAGAAGTGGAGGAACTGAGTAGCCATATTATGAGAGTTTGTTCTTTTGCCTTAATAAATATAATAATACTTGTTATTTCTCTTGAAAACACAGTAAACAAACGGTGCTTAGTGATAACCATGAACTCATGACACCGTAGACAAAATCCCATAAGTCCGTATCGGCCTGCGTATGACGGCAAGTGTGAGGCTGCCATGTTGACCAGCCACCGTGCGCACACGTGTGTGTGCCCGGCGGTGGCCATTCAGACAATCTTGGTGCATTTTGTCACTCGGCGGTCAAATGCGCTCGCACTCAATCTTTCTAAGGTGTTTTATACCTAAATTGTTCAAAAATGATACCTAGTTTCTTGCAGATTACCGGAAACCCTCTAAAACTGCCATTTCAAAAATGCCTGTGGATCAAAGCATGCAGAAAACTTCGTGTTTTTTGATGATGAGTTTGGGCAACTCAAGCCCTATCCATTTGTGCAAAAAAAAATTGAAAATAGAGGGGTCCTTGTGGGCTAGAAATCAATTTTATTGCATCATGTCTTCAGGGAGTCTGGTAACCAGGTTTTTGTGCACAAAAACAATCCATGCACGCAACACGTGCAGAGCAGCCCATTTGGTTTATAACACATTTCATTTCTGGTCTTCCCCGTGGATTCGGGATTTTGTGAATAATTTATCATGGTTATGCACAGAGCAGCGGGAAAAGCTATACATAGACAAACATGAACAAATTGGTTTCAGCAGCATCTGCTACAAACGTTACTCTGTTGGGCAGGGCATAATTGATGAAATATGAAAAATAAAGAAACTTATGGTATTCTTTCTAAAGTAGAAATAACTGCATATTTTACGTTCTGCATGAGGTTCTGCAAGAGGGTTTATGCTAAATTTCCAAGTCAGGAAGTGTATATATGCCAAAGCGCACATTATCTAAACCCCTGTCTGGTGAAGTGATGCTACATGTCTCCATTCCAGGTTCCCATGCATGCCCGTTTCCCCCACCACGCACAATACCTACCGGGCCAGCACCAGCCTTCGTACTCACTGCCATCGGGATTCTTAATCATCAGGTCTAGTTCCCGGGCTTCTCGATACATCCTATAATTGTCATCTCTTTTGAGATGCGGGTCGGCAGAGGCTACAAACTAACGGGGTGGGAAGGGTGAGGAAAAAGGGGAGGCTTTCAACAACTCGGAACAATCAACGCGAGCAGAATACGTACCTGGCCAACACCAACCCTCATATTCATTGTTGTCGTGAGTCTTTACTAAGAAACCATTGTCAACGGCTTGTTTGTGCAAGTGAAATCCAGAATCCTTCTTGAGATGAGGATCGACAATGGTCACCATCTATGGAACAGAGTACAATTCAAGGTTCTTTCGACAGCAGCAAAGAACTGCAGACGTGTTAGCAATGGCTAATTAAAACCTGTACCCCTCGAATGTGAATTTTTTAAAAAAGTAAGGTCGGTGATCCATAAAATGACTTTAAGACAGTAGGCCAATCTAGTAAGCCCCACCCCTGCATCCCGGAGCAATAAACACTCCTCTCTTATGTCAATATGCACGTTCCAGCTGTACACATCATACAAGAGTAAAAGCTCTTGGACTTTTGTGCCATCATGTCAGTCACAAATCAGGGAGCTCCGTGATTGATAGGAGCAACGTAGGGCTGAGCGTAATGGTCTAATCTATCCTTCGGCCATGAGGCATCCCATGTCCTGCCAAACGGCTCATTCTTTCTGCTTTAAACATTTGTTCTGTACCATTCCACAGTGAATCAAAGCAATTTTCGTCCAAAGAATTTGGACAGTTTCTTTATCATTTAGCTCTACCTTTCTTCCCTTGGCTGCGACTTGGTTCTGCATTTCCTCAGGATGGGAAAACTTGTGTGAGTCCCACGTCATATACCTAGCAGGATGAAGGAAAAATAATTCGCCAATGACACGAAACAGCGAAAAAAAAAGATGCCAAAACCTGGAACCTTCCTGCAGAAGCATCTGTTACAAATGCCGTCAGTACCCTTAACATTTGCACAGAGTATCTGCAAAGATATTAAGAGGTCTCAGATTCAGCGCCCGTATCCGTGGACTAGTCTTCCTTCTTCACAAGACAAGGGCTCCTTACAAGATCAGGATATCTAGATATACGTCGTCATGTCCATACCTTTTGCCATCCGTGTGCTCGATATCAAGCCAGATGACATCGCAGGGGATGTCGTGTTCGTCAAACTTGGCATCCACACTGCAGAAAAAGAACAAGAGTTGATTTTGTTTTTTAAATGTTTCAAACTCCGAGTCTTCAAAATCTGACAGGTCTTGGAGGATTGAGGGAGGTAGATTCTAAGTATCATTACTAAACGTGCGCTTCCAGCTCCTAGACACTTACAGTACAAAGAACATCTGGACAATTTCCTGTAGCTAGGACTTTGAAGGGATTCAGTCAGACTATGGGCAAAAGTTCCCAAGGAGATGCAGTTAACCCTGACCCTAGTCGACTTGGCACACTTACAAGCACAGTGAACTGGATAAGCATCCAATCAGATGCTATTTAGTTTTGAGCATACTCCAAACACAACTGTACGAACAAAAGCATGCATACGGTATGTTGGCCCAGCAAGACATAACAGATTGCCCTCTCTCTATTGTCCACTCACTCCGACCACATTACGGTGGCATCCAAACTGTGGAGTTGAACTGAACCAACACGACGGCCTAGTACAAGGAAAGAGGCATTTCTTTTATGCGACTAACCTTTTCACGTCATCCTCATCATTGTAATTCCAGCGACTCTGATGATATGCAATGGCAAACAACTGGAAAAAAGAGAGAACAGAAACAGTAAATGGGTATCACACAACTGAAAATGGCACTATGGTGACAAAGATTCTGTCGACAGTAGGCCTGATTATTATGAACCCCTCGTTCAAATAATCAATTTCTATTTGACCCAACAGATGACCATGTGATAACAGAAGCTGCTTCTCCATCTTTCACATGAGATCAAGCAGTGTCAGCCATATATTACAGCCACGTTACTATAGGGGCTCAAGATTGTCGACCTCTACATGGTGGGCTCTGAAACTGTCTAACACAGGCAGGCAAATGACAACGACCTGAGATACAGCAGCGATACAGCAGCAATACAGCAGCAATACAGCAGCAATACTGCAGCAATACAGCAGCAACACAGCAGCAATACAGCAGG